GCTGGAAGTCTCTGACCGGTTTGGGTTGAAGGGTATCTCATAAGAACTGAAGTTTAGTTTGATCAATGGAGTGCCGAGGAGAAGTACAACAGCTTTGAACAATAATTATCAGGCGCATGTAGAAACCGTGCACCTAACGGACTAGCTGCCCTGAGGAGACAAACCGTACCTTCTCGAGAGTTCCTTCGTCACTGCTCCCATCTGCAAAACATTGCGCTCTTTTGAATCGCACCCCAAATGGCGTCTATTCTAATAGGCATCATATGTAAACTGGGTGATAGAACAGATATCGGTACCAGTAAGAACTAACAGTATTCGGCAGGTTCGTCTTTGGTCCACCGGGTATCGGCGGTAGCAAAACTACCACAACAAACTGCCTAAGTACGCAGGAGACTGTGGGGTGGTGCAGTACGTTTGTTGGAACTCGAATTTAATGATCAAAGATCCAAAGGGATAAATCTTGGTCGATTGGGGACAGACGGGTGCTATGTCTACTGGAGCAATCAATCAGCCTCTTGAACAGTTACTATCGGGTCCGGCTTCCATGGAAAAGTAATTAGCGTGACTCAACGGAAAACGAACGCAGCCAAGAAACGAATGATGTACCTTCGGCTCCGCTTATCAAAGGACCAGAATCTCTTGCAGCTTAATACAGACATCATATCGGAGCACAAGGCCAAGGGCTACGTCGGCAGGGTGGTGCGTCGACTCGTCCCTCGCTATCCTGTTTTTATCCCCACAAACCGGGGAAGGTGAGGATAGTATTTGATTTTGCGGCAAAGTCTGGAAAACTATCGCTGAATGGCTGTTTATGCTCTAATATTTGACGAATGACATTACCGGGGTTTCTCTACGATTTCGTTTGAACTATGCCGCGTTGTCTGCAGACATTGAAGAAATTTTCTTGCAAGCTTATTCGAAGTCCTTTCGTTTGATTTAAATTATACCTATCCATCGGGTAGTCTGAAGGTACTGTACAAGGCTTACGGCAAACTTCGACGTGCAGGGAGCTGCCACATTCGTCTCAGTTGGGTCGCACCACACCGAGACCACTTCATCATCCAGATATAGCGCATAGGTTCTTCTCTGAAGCACACGTTCTCTGAAGCCATCATGTACATATAAAATACAAAACACTTGTTATTTCCTGTGTACCAGCAGTCCCAACTAGTACCTAATCGCCGTTTCTCGCCACGCACCATTCGTTTCTTTGGGCTTACAGCAGTCACCCGGTGACTGGGGGTCCTCACGATTATCTTCCTGTTAAGTTGACGTAGATTTCAGCTAAACTTCGGCTCTCATCCATTATCTCGGAAGCTGCTGGCAGACAACTTATTACTTATATGCTGTCCTTTTTCACATTATCCCTCTCTTTGCACAACGGAGACCCCATATTCGGATTCATTTGATAAGCTAAAAACTACTGCCATGAAATCGCCCGTTCGAAACAGTCCAATAACTAGCCTCCCTGCTAGCTAACTCAGCGACAAAGTCCCTATCTTCTTCAAATTAGGCACCCAATCTGGCCTAGCCAGTAATAGGCTTCTGGGTCAGCAAACATATCCACACTTTTCTGGGTCCATTTAGCGTGATATCGTCCCCCTTCAGAATTTTTTCGTCTCCTGACACCGTTTTATCTTATGCCTCCTGACACTCACTAGACAATACTGTTTTCATCCTATTGCCTCCTCAGTACCCCTTCTTGCCAAGCTTCAAACTTTGGTCGTAGTTGCCCAAACGCTCCGTACAACCTTTATTCTTTTAGTGTGGCTGGTCCCCGGTCCACACTCACATGATCCTCCGACGGAAGGGAAAGTATACGTGACCCTGCTCTGGCCTAGTCAATCTGGTCACTCTCCCCGCCTAATCCAGATCCCACTGACACGGAAACGCCCATCCGATCTCCGATTGCGGCAGTCTTGACAACCGTTACGGGGCTGTCCACAAACCAAAGTATATCAGTGCTATGATGGCATGGCGCTGCCATACCCAATGTGGTGACAATCCCGCAACTGCTTTCTTCAGAATCTTGACCGCAACCTATCGCCCCCTCGAGTCTGCAATCGCAACTACGAGCAAATTTTTCACCTGACCCTAACCGTCTCTGGGACGGCCCCCGACGAATCTTTCGTTCGGATTTGACAAACCTGGTTTCTGCCGCAATTTCGGTTTGCCTCTTCAAAAGGTTCAATTCGATATACGGTTTTCGTTTGGTCCTATACGTTAGCGCTATTTCCCCGTCGAACTTATCACTTACCCTAACTTCCCTACAATAGTGGCACCAGTGAGTAGAACGCTATATTTGTAATGCACAATTCATAAGGTCCCTGAAAATTTCCCGACAGCTCGCGACCGGTTTTGCCCTCCTTGGGGGTCATCGACTAGGCGCAGTCCCCGAGTTTTCGTCAACCTCATGTTCTACCTGAAACCAAATTGCACAAAATTAGCGAATACACTCACCTGTAAAGTGGCATCTTTCGACAGCAACTTGACTGGTATTTTAACGCCCCTAATGCTAGCCACAGAAGTGTCACCTGGGAGAGGATGATATGGTCGGATCGGTGTATTCTAGGTGCAGTTGCTCCGGAGCGGTTATTTACAGAAGAATAGTTGGCGACATATCTAACGGAATTGGGACGAATACTGAACAATCACCCGTTGGTACTAGTGCTAGTTGACCCTGATAACATTGATATATTGGCCCCCTACCCATCTGTTGCTACCACGAGTGCCATTCGTCCCTAGTGACGAAGATCCAAGACTACGACACCGCTATAATCGGTAGAGGAGACAGAGTCCGTTGATGACCGACACGTTCTGGCGCCGCCGGCTGAGAGAATACCTTCGGCTGCTCCAATCGCTGCATAACTAGGCGACTCTCAGAAGAAACATATGATTCGGGAATCCGGTATTGACACTTGGAGGACAACACAAGCATGGTGACCGAAAGAATTGTGATAGCCACTACACCTGGGTCGGATGGGTGGGGCAGGACGGTGGTGCTCAAGAATCCCGACGGTTCATTAGTCAGAGATATACGGAGGGTTTGCACGTTAGAGGGAGTGGGTTAGACACAGGAGCTCGGTCACCATGAAAGGCATAAAGGAACGTGGCAAGCGACTTTGGCTATAGTCCACTGTGCCATTTGTGCCTCGCGTTGCCGCTTTTGTCAGGGACTGAGTGAACGTAGTCTAGGAAATCCAAGCTGGAATTGGAGGGGCGGCGTACTTCCTGTATACCGGCCTAAATATTCCCTTCTCTAAGCCTCCACTGTACTACCATCTCTACCTCATAGACACGACATGCATTAGTATTACCTCATGAACTTTTAACACTTGACATGTCGAACCAATTTAGCCAACCATAATTTACGCGCGCTTTTTGATCATTTTGTGTTACCGAGGCCGCTGACTAGAATCACCTCCAAATTATTTTCGCCAAAACTATAGGGTTCTCGAAGGTGTGACTCTAACGGGTAAGTCGAATCCATCTGCACCTTCCGGTGACACGTTGCTTGTAGCATTTTGCTTAAGTGTGCGAAATTTAAAGGTCGCGGTCCATCATCGATTCGCGTTTTGTTTACGCAAAATAAAGCACGAAATCGCACCTTGGCATATTTTGGGCATTCTTCGGTGTTCATTAAGAGCAAAAAAATCTACAGAATATCTAATGTGAATTCCAGATGCGCATAATTAACCTGTAGATAATACAGCGTCACGAGATAGCTGCACGTACCAGTCCTATTATGAATATGGCGCCCTTTATTTGGTAACCGCCAAAAAGCGGTCGTAACTGCTGGGTCCGTGTTTATGTGCAACGCAAATTATGGGGCCTCACTTATGCGTGGCAACCCAATCGAACGACAAACGACGGTCCCTTATTCTCGTAACTCTACGCCCTGTCACTCATCTCGAATACTTATTGTAACTCCTAGGCCCGCGTCTATGTGCGATGCTAATTATGGGAACTCATCTATGCACAGTAGCATAACCCAATGGGCAAAGACAGTCTTTCATACCAAAAACTGTACACGATGCCGCTTATCTCTGCTACCTCTATTGAACAACAGGCCAGTATCCATGAGGGCCGGTAAAAATGAGGCCCAAACTATGCGTGATAATCTAATCTAACGGCCAACGACGGCCCATCATGCCCGTAACTGTACGCGTTACCGCTTGTCTCTGCTACTTATGAAAAACACCGGGCCAGTATTTATACGAACCGATGAATGTAAGGCTTAAAAATATGCACACACACCTAATCTAATGGCGAACAGGGACACCATACTGTACTCGATTTGATCTACCTTGACTATCTTTTCTGGCCGATAAAATTGCGGCCTCAACTATGCGTGATAATCTAATCTAACGACCAGCGACGGTCCATCCTGCTCGTAACTGTAATAGATATAGCCTACCTTGGGTACTTATCGCAATTGCCAGGCCTGCGTCCATGTGCACCGCTGACTACGAGGTAACAACCATGCCCAGTAGCCGAGTCCACTGGCCAACAACGGCCGGTCATACCCGTAACTGTATTTGAGGTCACCCGCCGAGGCTAATTACAGTGACTGCCTGGTACGTGCATGTGCTTGCAGCTCCCTATAGTGACTCACCTATACATAATAGACTGATGCAATGACCAACGGCGGTCCTTCATATCCATACATCGTCTACCTGCAACCCCACGCCTAAAAAATGCACAACCACCTCTAACAAATCATGTTTATCTTTATTGGTTGCACCGGTGTGGTCACTTCAGTTCTCCGTTTTTTAACCGACAGGGTTTGTGAAAAAATGTATGATGAATTTTGACTCGTACACATCTTCCCTGATATCATTTAGGATTCGTAAACAAATTGGCAGTGGCTAACTCACCAAGTGCTTGACAAATCTATTTGTCCGCGGTCCCCGGCTGGTGTCTGTGCTGGACCTGAAGTCTTACTGTTATAAAGCTAAACGCACTACTTGCCCAATTAGTCCGATTGGTGATATCGAGGGAGTCTTGTGTACATCGATGATTCGATAGCGGGATGCGGCAACAATATGCATTATTTGGCGAACGTAAAAGTCAAAGCTAAAGGGGGTGTATACCTGTCAGTCGTAAGACCAAGTGGTGTAGATTTGAGCCTTAAGATCCAAGGGCACATGTGTCCTCAAACGTGCAGCCATGGGCGCAGCCACAGCGAAGATCTAGTGAGTGGGCAGGTCCTTGGTGTCGAATACGCTCGTTTAAAGCACAAAACCCCGAGTCCACTCGATTTCTGCTCTCTGACGAGGATACCATATGGCTTAATAAAATCGACAGCTCAGCCTTCCTCACCAAAACCCGTAACCATAGCATACTCAACCACAGTAGCAACGTAACCAACAAGGGGCACCCTTCTGGGCTTCATCCAACTCACCTTTCATGTCTAAGAGTTGCAGCCCATCCTCACTCCCTCTATCATGTCGACTATATCCAAATAAAAATGAGCTAGTAAGATAGCCAAACCTGATGGGATCCCACTATCTCAGATGATGATAACGACATAGCTGGAGATTGCAAGGACAAACTGTTCACTCGAAATCCCTAGTGCTCAACCGAAAAATCGCTATCTAACCGTCGCCTTAAGGATTTGTCGACATTGGACCACACGAGCTATGGTGTTGATGCAACCGTCGTCAAACACCTGAAAACGCCTTGTTTTTTCGCTTTTCAAACAGGACAGGTCTCAGACATACTGCAGGACAGCCCGCACTGCTGCCTGATATACACGTTATATAATATTCACGGACGTACCGCCTTGACCCCATAGGTGTATCAAACTAGCAAACGCGACCCGAGCATTGCAGGTTCGTGGATTGATCTCATCCATCACACACACGCGAGAAAGACTAATGCAACTTCAAATGTATATAAAACGCTTTACCACACTAACTCTCCAACGCGATCGGAAAAATGCCTGCGATCTTGTATTAGCTTTGCTCTACCTCTAGGTACTTCCTCGGCCAACCAAAAATACCCCTCCCCCAGAGATTCGCACATCAAAGCTAAATCATCTCGAAAGTGAAGCCCGTTGCAGCGATGTCCGGAAAGCGGCGTATTCCAGTGCACTGATGGCATGAAACTGCAATACCCAGCTTGGCAGCATACCCGCAAATATGCACTTCCTCCTCTTGACTGTAACCCATCGCCCACTTATCCCTTTACCTGCAACCACGAACAAATCCACGCTTTATCCTGCCTGACGGTACGTAACCCACCGTTTGGGAATGAAAATTATGATAATGTGGCACTATGTGGGTAAACACTGCATACCAAAAGACAAGATGAATTTGGATAGTTCATCCAAAAACACCTACGCCTTTTCCTCCTCTCCGAAGACTAGAACGATACGTACATGATCCAGCTCAACAGGATTTTGGCCAGAATATAATTGAGAACTGGGTTCAGAGGTCATTTCAGCATTCGTCTAATTATCTCGTCGATGACGAAACTGAGAAAGAATGAAGAGATGGCGCCCCCGGCGGACGCCGCTTTACTTACTGAAGCTTTTGAAGCCCCCATATCTTTCCGTGATATGTTCACCCCTTCCGCACCTCCTGTCCACAACGATGCAAGGGATTACATTCTCCATAAAATACACTCCTTCCACGTAATGAACTTCAGAATCCACCTTCTCCAATGAGGAAAGGAAAATTTAAAGTGAAAGCAACTTTTTCGGACGCCTGTTCCCCTCCCGAGCTTGCCTTTGCTGTGGCATATATCGCAAGCGATTTCCCCAAGAATCGAAAGACTGATTGATAGAAAAGCAAAAATGCCGGACGAGACTCACCAGATGCACGCGATATGACACGTCAGAAGCTCAATGCTTTTCATTAACTGTAACAGCTCCACTCTGAGGTCAACTGATTACACAAACACGCAAAGACACTGGAACCTCTGGTCTTATGTCTCTGCAAGCTCCGAGCTGCCTTGGCTGCTGACACTTGCCAATACACGTCCCTCATACTTACACAAGTCCACACCAGTTCGCATCGACCGCATACCAATTATCTACAACTAAATATCGATTATGGGTTTTGAAATTGGGCAGTGACGCCACAGTGAAGTAGTTAGGAATCATGACAATTTTCGACTCTGTTATTTCGGTCGGCATTCTAACCTACATCAAAGTACTTTCTAGCAAACATTTTGGACACTATTTCCAGTTTCGACGGTCTTATTACCTCGTTTGAATGGCAGCAAAGAGCCATTGTGGACCCTCGATGGACCCAAGAATATCCTAACTACAATGACAACCATAAACAGCTCATCCAAGATGTTCATGTACGGGCTGTCCACGAACCGAAGTACGGCGTCGCGATGACGGCACCGTGACCACCATACCCGACATTCACTATGTAAATAATATTTCTCAGATGAGCGTGGTACCCACCAAAACGTTTCATTCCTTTTGATTTGTGCGAGGGCCTAAAAGCAGGGGCCATCTTATTGTGCCGTCTGCCTGTTCTGCCCATACACCCAATAGTTCATCCGACAGCACTTTTGGTGGCTCGGTATATCGGTGAAGATCAAACCAAACCAAACGCATATTTATCCCTGCTCCAAAGCCGTGAAGGATAAAGTGGATACACCTCCAAATTTCTCAACAAACATGTCCGAGGCCACTTCTGAGGCAACAGCACAACAATTTCGATGTCTTAGGCGCGCTAAAATATTAAATAAGACAACTCGCGACAAAATGAATGCAGGTTGAGTTGATTTATTGTTTGAGCATGCATACAACAAAATGCAACACTTTGGCGTGAAACCATTTCATCCCACTCGCAAAGGGTTTGCAGATAAGACCATTGTGTTTCTAAGGCATAGCCCACGAAAGCTGCAGTGTTTTGGGGTTTGCATCTGCACATCAAAAGGAGAAATAAAACCCTCAACAATGGTTTTTCCGATTTCCAAACAGCGTTGTGAAGCGAGTAATTCCCAAAGTAGTATGTATTCTGCTGAATACTACATCCGAATCGGAGATCAACATCTAGCGTTGGCGCTCATTTAGAAATTTCGCACGTGCTGTGGGCATCAGGTAAAAGATCTAACGAACAACTTGATTGGACGATACTAGAACGCTACAGACCTGGTACACAGATTGAATGTTAAGTATTAACAACTAAATGTTAGACGTAATGCTGCTTAGGGGATACAACCGGGAGATTCATCTCTCTGTGGGAGTTAGATACAACCTGGATGGTTCTTCCAATTAGATTCAAAATTCACCGGAACAACGTAAAACTTTAGGCTGGAAAAAAGCCCATCGATGGATTCCGCACTGCGTATGCTTTCACCGAACAATGGAACGCTTGGTCGCAGCAGTGGATGTAGCTGCTCGACCGTGAGATCTCAGGGTCTATCGTCCCTTCGGTCTGAGGGACTAAGAATTGTGCCTTGTCGCCCTGCCGGCATCACAGTTGGGGCCGAAGATTACTTGACTAGTGTTTGACCAATCAAGGTCAAGGTGTTATGGGTCTGCTGCCAAAAACGAACAACTAGCTGGTTTTTGGTGAGTGACCACACCTTTGAAATCTTACGGTCACTTGTATGGCTCAAGCTCTTTTTGCGATCTAGTATATATGGTTGACATTTTCCTTTTGCTTGTTGATGATGCCGAATTGAGGGAATGTGTTTTTTCTCTTTTGGCAGTAATACCTTCGTTTTCTTTTCTTACTGAGAGCCTCTCCTGGAGGTTCCTTAGGGAACAAGCTTGTCCATCGAAGGCATCAAGGCATTTGCTGTGTTCAGCTTCTGTTGCCCGTAGCGGTGCATAGTTTGTGGATACGAAGTGTTGACTAGCTGTTTTAGTATTAGGTTTGTCCGAGTTGAGTTGGGCCAAACGCAAACCTCATACTTGCAGAAAATTCGATCGACATGGTAAATAAAATTGCTTACTTGTGCAGTTGTATACGTTCTGGTGGCCTAGGTGGAAACCTAGATGGAAACTTGGGCAAGAGCCTTGATCCTGTGTATCAATCCGTGAAACCGTTAGTTTCCCGTGGTGGATAAATTACTCACGGTTCCTACTTTGCTGTGGTTTGGGCGTGTGCTCCGCATACCAGAGCCTTTCCACCCTCCCCTGTACTGATTGGGAGCGAGTGAGAAATGGACAGTGTGACCTTGCAGCGATGTGTGATGACACAATCCAACAGACTCTGCTAGGTTGACAAATGATGGCTCCATGGATGGGGACGTATCGATGGTGAGTGATACTGACAGACGTCGCAGTCAATGGCACCTGTGCATCAAGGCTATCGCCTTCAATGTGCAGTTGCCCAGTTCCCCTAACAAACTGGTCATAACAATACTCACATGCTTGGCTATATCCCTTCTGCTTTCCGGTGATAGAAATTGTGCATCCCACTCAACTGCAGCTCCTGCACGTCCGACTTCAATAGCAATCCCAAACACTTCAAAATCAGTTTTCGCACTCCGAAAGCCGATCTGCTTAGCTGCTTTTCATGTTCGCACACCGAAGCAAGCAGCGCGGCAGATTGATGTCGCTTGTACACTGGATATCCTCTGCATTGATATATGCTGTCTGTCGGAAAGGAATGTATATTACGCAAGCACTGTTACTGAATCGACTATGCACCTCCGGTGACGCGGAGGCCGCTGCAGCCGGATACAACCGAGTTGATTTTATATTGAGCGATCGTGTAGAAATGTCTATACTTGATCGGATACTTGTTGATAGTCTGTCCGGCGCGGTTCATGTGGCGATGTCTGTGAGTAAATCTCGAGAAATTATTGTCCACTGCACCTTTCTTTATTGTTTCTGCTTACCGCTGATTGTAGTTCTGAATCCGTCAAAGATAACTTCTGTGGTGCTCTATGTACTTTTTTACAATGGGCCAAAGCTTGGATGTTAGGTAGGTAGATTAAGGGCTGCTTAAACCCAACTTGGCGGTCATCTCTGTTTGGATATGAGACGTCCGGGCAACGGAAATAGTCTACTTCGGATGTGTTCGACCATAGACTTCGTTTGCAGAACTAATTTCACGAACAGCGGAAATCGCTTGACGACGTGGTGTCCACCAACGAATCAATCCCGAATCCAAATGGGCTACATCATCGTCACTTATCGGTGGCGAGGGTCGATCACGCATTCGCGCGTTACTGCCTTCTGTTGCGCTTTTCATGTCTACACAAAGCGCACACGCTT